TCCTGGGCCTCTTAGCAACATACTCTCTGCCATAGGCCAAAAATGCTGAAAGTATTTTGGAGTTTGTATTTAATCCTTAAAAGATTTTAGGGATACCTCTTCAGAGGGGGGAATGTTAGAGTATCCAAAAGCCCCATAAAAATAAATAAATCAATCAAAGAAGAAAGAGTACATGAAGTTATCAGAAAGAAGTGATCGGGAGATATGGGAGGAGTTGAAGGAGGAAGTAGGCATGGATTTGATCAAAACACTTCATATGCATATATGAAATTCTCAATAAATTATTTATTTTTGAAATAAAGAAAATACTAGTTCTTCCTATTTCTGTGTCAGGCATATGAAAACTGTATATGTTCTTGTTTCCAAGTTACTGCTCCGGTATTGAGTACTGTTGGCATGTGATTATAAGGCAGTAGAGATCATTGAAATATCCTTTAAAAGATATGATGGTGAGCAATTGTGTATTCAAATCCCTTGACCTTGTATTATTCCTCTCATGAAGTTGCCCAGAAAAAACTTCCTGTGCTGTCAGTCTCTGCTTTGGATAAGCAGGGATGATCACGACACAGAGACAGAGTGGGCTTTCTGTTGGGTTCTTATAAGGAATACATTTTGTAAGCAAACAAGATTTTGTTTGTTGCCTCAAATTTATGTTGCATTTATGAATTCCTATGTAGAATGAAGATTCTTCAATTGACTATTTGGATAATATTTCTAAAATATGAATTTCAAAACACATTTTTAAATAATTTGTTTCTGTTCTCTTTAGTGCACTAAATAGGGAACAGAAACAAATTATTTAAAAATTCAAAACTTAGGCCAGGTGTGGTGGTGCATGCCTTTAATCCCAGCCCTTGGGAGGCTTAAGTAGGTGTATTTCTGTGTGATCAAGGCCAGCCTGCCCTACATAGTGAGTTCCAGGCGAGCTGGAACTAGGGAGACCCTGTCGAAAAGTAAAAACTAATATGCAAAACAGAATAGGGGTGTTTGTAGCTTGTTATGGACAAGGAATTGATAACCTTAATAAACACAAAGGGCCAGTAAAAAAAAAGAGCTGTCATGTCTACGAAAATGAAAAGGTAATTAACAAAAGAAAACAGCCAGGAAATAAGAAGAGTGTTTAGCTGTCACTACTGATCAAAACAATTAGGAATAAACAGAAATATATCCGTTTTTTTTAATGGTTTTCAATTGATTTTTTAATATTCTTTTTTAAATTTTTTATTGAATTTTTGTGACTGTTCATACAATATAACTTGATGGCATTTAGATCCCCCCCCGCTCCTTCCTCACCTTTTCTCACTGCCCCACCCCAATTCAGTATACTTAGCTGTATGTACACAGTACAGCCTACAGAGTCTGACTTGTGTCCCCATTGTGTGTCCCAGTGAGTCTCCTAAGATTCCCATGCCTGTAAGAGATGTCTCCCCCTTTCAACATCCAAAAATTCATATGGAAGCACAAAAGACTCTGGAGAGCCAAAGCAACCCTGAGCACAAAGAGCAGTGCTGGGGGAAGGAGAGTTAATATACCAAACCTCGTAAAAGCAGCATTGTATTAACACAAAAACAGACTTGCAAATTAATGGAACAAAATACCAGATCCAAACAAGAGTGCCTGCAATTATAACACTTGATATTTGACAGAGGTGCCAAGAACACACACTGGAGGAAAGACGGCATCTTCAACAAATGGTGCTGGAAAAATTGGATCTCCACGTAAGGAAAAATGAAATTAGACCCATACCTATCACCCTGCACAAAAGTCAGCTCCAAATGAATCAAAGACTCAGTGTGAAGCCTAAATTGCAGAAACTATTAGAAGAAAATATATTCAATACCCTACAAGATACAGGTGTAGTAAAGGACTTTCTAAACCAGACATCAGTCAATCAGGAATTAAGGTCAACAGTGTACGAATGGGACCACATTAAACTAAAAGGCTTTTGTACAGCAAAGGAAACAACCAATTGAGTGAAAAGGGAGCCTATAGAGTGGAAGAAAATCTTCACCAGCTTTTTATCTGACAGAATTAATATCCTGAATATACAAAGAACCGAAAAGAAAGAGAGAGAGAGGGAAAGGAAAGAAAGAGAGAGAGAGAGATCACTCAGTTAAAAAAATAAGCTATGGATCTGAGCAGAGAGCTCTCAAAAGAAGAAATAAAAATGCCTACAAATCTTTAAATGTTACTTTAAGGCTAAGATCACCTTAAAAAGTGTTCAGCATCCTTAGTAATTAGGGCAGTGCAAATCAAAACCACTTTAAGATTTCATCTGACCTGAGTTGGAATGGTGGAATTGAAGAGATGAAGAGAACAAGTAATACCAAATGCTGGTGTGAGTGCAGGGAAAGGGGAACTTTCATCCAGTGTTGGTGAACTGCAAACTGGTGCAATCCCTGTGGAAATCAGTATGGCGATCTCTTAAAAAACTAAAAATAAATCTATCATACTATCTGGTTACACTCCTTAGCGTATACTCAGCGGACTCATCCTACTACAGAGATACTTGCACAGCCATGTTTCTTGCTCTTTTCACAATAGCTAAGAAATCGGAGCAACCTAAATGTCCCTCAACTGATGAATGGATAATGAAAATGTGGTACATTTACACAATAGAGTTCTAGCCAGTGGTTAAAGAAAAACAAAATCGTGAAATTTGCAGGCAAATGAATGGGCCTAGAGACTGTTGTACTAAGTATCACAGACTCACAAAAGATAGGTGATGTAAGTTTTCAGAATTTTTGAGAATGTGCTATGTTTATGATTAATTGTAAGCTTTTCTAGAAGATAAGTTTTGAATAGGCATGAGTGTCCTTTAAAAATAGTTTAAAAAAAAAAAAAAAAAAAAAAACTGGCCTAGAGAGGTTGCTCAGCAGTTAAGCACACTTGCTGTTCTTCCAGAGGACCCATGTCCAATTCCCAGGACCTACACTGTGGCTAACAGCTGTCTGTAACTTCCATTCCAGGGGTTCCAACACCCTCTTCTGGCCCCTGTGGATACTTCAGGCACATGGTACACTTACATACATGCAGTCATACTCATAAAAATAAATAAAGGGGCTGGAGAGATGACTCTGGTTAAGTACACTGACTCTTCTTGCAGAAGACCCAGGTTCGAATCCCAGCACCTACATGGCAGCTAACAACTGTACATAACCCAGTTCCAGGGGATCCAACAGCCTCTTCTGTCCTCCGCAGAGACTATATGATGCAGGTGCACATACCTACATGCAGGCAATACACGCATACACATAAAATTTAAAAAAAAATTTTTTTTAATAAAAGGAGTTTGAGCTTACAGTTCCAGGGGAATTACAGTCTGTCTTGGTGGGGAGGCATGGTGGCAGGAGGTGGCTGGAGGAGGAACAGCAGAAGCTAAGTTCTACATCTTCCAGTAGGCACAGGAAACGAGAGCAACTGCAGATCCAGCATGGCTTAAGAACTCTCTAAGCCCACTCTAGTGACATGCTTCCTCCAGGTTAGCCACACCTTCTAAGACCTCCCAAAACAGCGCCATCATCTGGGGACAAAATGTCCAAATACTTCAAACCTATGGGGAACATTTTCATTCAACCCATCAATAGTTATATAAAATAGCTATACAAATAAAACATCTAATAAATCATAAGCAGCATTATTTTAAAACAATTCATTGATACATATTTTACTATTTATTAAACATGAAAGCAAATGTGAATATGAGTGAGATGAATGTGCTTGTTTATTTTTTCTTTTTAATTTTTAATAACTACATGATTAGAAGAAGCATTTCATTACAGCTTTAACATATTCAGTAACACACTGCAGAGCAAGAGTACATCTCTTTCACAAGTGGCTGCAAGTTTCTAGGTTCACAGTTGAATTAATACAGTTATACAATATTGAACTCAGTATAAGCCCTGTAAGACATAAAATTGAATGAGTTTTTATCCTTTAAAAAAGATCTCCATTTCAATTTAGAATATATTGTTCCTTTCAGAAAGACTCATTGTTTTTGCTACTAACACTGAGATGTTGGCACATGCATCTCTAATCTGTATGTATCTGATTATTACTACTCATAATCGGTTGCACTTGGATCCTTGGTGCCTGTGTATGTCTATAAAGTCATTGGGTAGATTTCAATGGTAATGTTTATCACCTCTACTAATTAACATGACGTAAATTTCCATGTTTCCTCCTCAAAAATAATAAAATATTTTTAAAAATGCTGACATTTAAAAAATAAATATTTTTCATATATATTCATTTTTTCCCATTGCTAGATTTACATATAAAGCTAGTAGATTCTATTGCAAGGCTTTAGGGGAATTAAGTGTGTATATGATTACTATTGTTTCTGATTAACAGGTAAACTGAGGCACAGAGAGGTTATGTAAGTTGCTCAATGGCTACTCATTTCAGTCTTAAAGCTTTGTTTGAACAAGTTTAGTCTGAGTGGTGTGATTATTTCTGATTCCTTTTTTAAATTTTTTGTTTGCATTTTCTTAAGTTGAGCACATCCAAAAGATAAAGACAAAATTGGGGCTGGGTGGGGGGTGGAAAAAGAGACTTGAGTCATTTTAGGCAGTATTTCCTCATTAAAGAAAGACTATCATCAGATTTTTTTCTTTATGCATAAAAATTTAGATGGAATATAGAGTACATGTATTCACCAAGTAGCAATTCTTTTTACTTAACTCACTTTTAATCATAACTGTAAAGGGGCTCTGTATTTATACCCATTTAATAATTATCTCAAAAAGCAAAAAATGTAGGGCCGGGCATGGTGGCGCATGCCTTTAATCCCAGCACTTGGGAGGCAGAAGCAGGCAGATCTCTGTGAGTTCAAGGCCAGCCTGGTCTACATAGTGAGTTCCAGGACAGCTGGGGCTACAGGGAGACCCTGTCTCAAAAAGACAAAAAAGGAAAAAAAAAAAAAAAAGGTAAAAAATGTAATCAAATGCTCATTTTGAAGCAAATGCGCTTATATCTTGCACATGTCCTGTTGTTTACAGATGGAGAACATTATTGGAACAATACGAGATTCCAACCTGAAACTGACTTTAGCCTTTGGGATAGGAATGCATCATGCTGGGCTCCATGAAAGAGACCGAAAAACTGTAGAAGAGCTATTCGTGAACTGCAAAGTTCAGGTACTGTTTTTTTGTTAGAGCCTCCATGAACACACAATTAAAAGTAAAAATTTTTATTTTACTTGGATATAAGATATTATCTTCGTCTTTTAGGTTCTTATTGCCACAAGCACATTAGCCTGGGGTGTAAACTTTCCAGCTCATTTAGTAATTATTAAGGGAACAGAATATTATGATGGGAAAACAAGACGTTATGTGGATTTTCCAATCACAGGTAATCTCCTTTCAACAATATATTAAAATCTTACTTTATTCTTAACAATTTGTATTTGTTTGAATTAAATTTTGAAAATTCTTCTCATTTAAATATGTAATAAGCAGGTAAGGAAAGTATTTTGTTTTGTTCTCAATGCAAATACTACACAAAATACTTTAACTTTTTATTTAATTTTAACTTACATAATATTGGTTTCAAGTTCATAAATAAAAGTATTGATTGATAACCACTAGGACCAATCAATTTTGACTAAGCATTACAATTAGTAAATTTCAGAAGCTAAATAATTTTTTAATTACAAGTTCTCTCAAACATTCCTACAACTTGTAAAAGAAAGAAATTTTATTTTCTTAGTGTGTGGGTGGGAGATAAGACCTAAATAGACTTATTATCTGTAAGGGGGGAAAAGGAGTCAAATGACTTCACTGAAGAGATTTTCCTATATGTGTTTTACTTTTTCTTGTTTAACTAACATAGCAGTATTCTTTTATTTTTATTTTGGATGTATGTGTGTGGTGGATATACAAAGTCATACTATGTTGGGCGCATGTGCCTGGGGACGCACCTGCGTTCGTTCGTACGTAGGTCCATTTAGAAGTCAGAGGTTGTGATCGATTGTATTTTTCAGTCACTTTCCCCTTTTGTTTACTGAAGAGGAGTCTCCAGTTGAAGCCAGAGCTCATGTAGTCTAGCTAGCCAACTTGTCTTGGGGATCCCGGGTCTCAGCCTCCCAAGTGCTGGGATTGTGGATGGCTGACATAGCCTTCTGACTTTTCTATCAGGGCTGGGGATCAGAACTCTGGCTCTTATGCCTGTGTAGCAAGTGCTTAGCTATCTCCCCATCCCTGAAAATAACAATATCCTTGAAAAGCATTTAAATCAATTAACTAAAGAGGACTCTAACCTTCATTTCACAAATAGTGTAAACTACCCTTTTTAAGAGTGGAGTTAACGTCATAGTCACCTTATTATCGAATATAAATTTTCCAATTGTATCTCATTATGTAGAAGTAGCCACCAGAGGTAGCATACGTTCTCTTAAAATGCCTGTTGGCTTTGTTTCCTGCTGTTAGACGCATGCCCTGATCAGGAATGATACCTTGGTGCTTGGTAACACTGTAGAACGCTTTGTTCTATCCTCTGTAGATGTGCTCCAGATGATGGGTCGGGCTGGAAGGCCGCAGTTTGATGACCAAGGCAAAGCTGTGATTCTGGTTCATGATATAAAAAAAGATTTTTACAAAAAATTTCTTTATGAACCTTTCCCAGTAGAATCAAGGTAAGTTTGGTTTTAAGCTAACATTAAAGGACTCATTTCATAGTAAATTGGTGTTTTCTTGGTTATGTTTTACAAGATAAATGAACTATTTAATGTAATTATCACTATAAGACAAAATGCAATTGTGAATTTTTTTGTTTTTAAAAGAAGCAATCAAGTACACTCTCTGGCTAATGTGCAATAGTTCGCTGGCTCTAACACAAGAGCTTGGCATTGAACAATTTAACTCCTTGTTATCCATAAAGTAGAAATGATAGCCATGCTAGTTTCTGATGGCATATTTGTAGTGATCTGATGAAAAATGCTTGGAAACAGTGTCTGTTGTATAGTAAAGTTTACTTTGCTGAGGACTTTGGGTTTTCCTTGGTATTTTGTTTTGTTTTGTTTTTTTTGTAATAAATTAACACCCAAAATATAGTGCATGAGGGGCTAGAGAGATGACTCAGTGGTTAAGAACACTGGCTGTTTTTGCAGAAGACCTGGGTTCGAATCCCAGCACCTACATGGCAGCAAAAAACTGTCCATAACTCCAATTCCAGGGGATCCAACAGCCTCTTCTGTCCTCGTGGGCATTGCACAACATGGGTGCACTTACCTACATGCAGGCAAAACGTGCATACACATAAAATAAAAATAATAGAAAAAATAGTACATCCAATTAATAATTTAGATTATTAGCCTCTTTCAGAAATATCTTTCTTCTTCTTGTATCCGCTGTTCCTTCCAGTCTTTTGCCATTGTCTCAGCTCACACTCCCATTCCTTCTCCAGATAAATATCTTCCACTTGTAACACTGCATTTAGCCTTTTATCACAGTCCTTCTATGTAAACTATATATCCTTTATTATACTCTAACAGCATTGAAAATAAACATACTTTTGATTTGAAAATTAATTTGTTATTGGACTTATCGTAAATGCTAACGAGGTTTTATTTTATTTTAAAAAATGAAAATAAATATTCTAGATCTCAGCTAACATCATGCTAAGAGAAAAATATGTGACCATAAATTTAAATGTTAAAAAATCGTTTTTAAAATTATCTATCCCTCTCAGAAATTTGGAAAAATTGGCAGATTGAACTCAAGAAAGAAGATTAAAGCAAACTTGATATATAAAAATAGATTTGCATTAGAGAAATTTCAATGCTAAAAGTTGGTGATTGGGTTTTGTGTGTGTGTCTGTCTGTCTGTCTGTCTGTTTTGGCTCTTATCTGTGTATGGTCCTAGGGATTGAACCTAGGGACTGAGGCATGCTAGGCAAGAACTCTACCACTAAACGATATCTACAGCCCTCTTCTTACTTTTTATTTTGAGACAGAGTTTCACTAAATTGCCCAAGTTAGCCTTGGACTCATTCAGCATATCAGGAAGGTCTTGAAATTGCAGGCTTCATGCCTCAATCTCCTCGGTAACTGAGATTATGGCCTGCACCACCAGGCTTTATTGTTTGCTTGTGTCTTTATTCCACAGATGAAGAAAATTGATGCATGTTTCTGTCTAAGTCTAAATATCAGGATTTAAAAGACAATATAGATATTAAAAGGACAGTCAGATATGAGCAACTTTATACAAATAATTTTTACAGTTCAGATCAAATAGTAAAATTTATTTTAAAGATACTAAAACTAACATAATGAAAAAGTCTAAGTAATCATTATTAAATAGGTCAAAGCAATTGAATCCAAAATTTAGAATCTTTTCATAAAGAAAGCATCCAAGTTAGATGCTCCATTATTTAACTCTTTGTCATATTGAAGGAATAATATTAGTCATAAATGAGCCTTCTAATAAAAGAAAAGCTAGGAATAATCTAATAAATTTGCTTAAATTTTTTTGAGAATTTCATTCATGAGTACTATATTTATAACATTTCCACCCCTCCCTTTTCCCCTTCCCAATTCCTCCCATGCTTCTCCACCACTCCCTCTCAAATTCATTACCTCTTCTTTAATATTATTTTAGAGAGAGAGAGAGAGAGAACCTCCTGAGTCCTATTTACTGTTCATTTAGTGTTGTTCATGTGTACATGTGTTTAGAGCTTTCCAGTTGGAATTGGATAACCTATCAGGAAGCTCATCCCTAAAGAAAACTGATTCTCCCTCTCTCAGTAGCCAGTATTTGCCTGTAGTTCCCCAACTGGGATGAGACGTTGTTAAATTTCCCCTATCCACACTGACATATCAGTTGGTGTTGGTATGGAGATTTTATTTAGGCAGCCTTTTTGTTGAAATTTCATGAGTGCATCTTCCCTGCTACATCTAGAAGACACCATCTAGCAGCGGGTATCCTGATTGTCTGGCTCTTAGACTCTTAGAATCTCTCTCTTCCACAATTTCTCTGAGCCTTAGGTATAGGGGTTGCATTGTAGACATACCAATTGGGACTGAGCACTCCACAATTGCTTATTTATTCTCTGCATTTTGAACAGTTGTGGATCTCTATAATAGCCTTTGTCTGCTTCAGAAAGAAGCTTTTCTGATGAGGGGTAAGAGCAACACTTACCTTTGTATATGCAGATAGTATTTAGGATAAACTTATAAATTTTATTAATTTAGGAGAGTGGCAGTAGTAAGGTCTCTGCTATTGTCTATGACCTCTCCAACCACAGGTAGTTTGGTAAGTTTATAGTACCAGACATGAATTTTCCCTGTTGAGCAGGTCTTAAGTCCAATTAGACAGCTCTTGGTTACCCATAAGTTAGAAGTGCCACTCTTGCACCATTAGGGATATTTTGCTAGTCCCGTCATTGTTGTGACTCATAGGCTATTTATAGCTGGGTAGAACTGCTGATAGCTCCCCCCCACCCCCGTCAGCTTGTATAGATCCTTCCAATACTATAAAAGCTAGTACTCAGAGAAGAGGCTTCCATGTCATTTTCAGCTTGGTTCTTCCAAGACCTGTGCCTAAAATGTATTTTGTCTTCAGCAATAGGATCTTACCTTTCAGGTTCAGTTAGGCAACCAAGAGCAATGGCAATAGCCCATGTTGTTTGGGAAGTTTCTCTGACTCCCCTGACCAACAACTTGAAGGGACGCTTCCCATGTCTGGCATTATTGGGTTTGTTTTCCCTCCTCTGTGGCTTTTTCAGACATCCTTGGTGCTCTCTCTATTTTATCTTTCCTTCTTTCCTCTCCTTCTGTGTAGTCCTTCCACTCTATTTAATGCTCCCCCTAATTTTTCCCATTTCTCCCTGAATAATACTGTGTCCTCTCTAGAGCTCCCTCTCCCCTTACCCCCATGATCCCTTTCTACTTTCATATCTTCTGCAGTTACTTGAGGTTGTATTTCCATGTAACAGTTCAGAGCTAGGATCCACAAATAAAGAACACATATCTTCTGGGTCTTGGTTACCTTACTCAGTATGTTTTCCAGTTCCATCATTTTCTACAGATTCCATGATTTCATTTTCCTTTATAGCCCAATACAATTCCATTGTATGTATTTACCAGATTTTCATTGTCCGTTCTTTGGTTGAAAGACATGTAGATTGTTTCCATTTCCTGGCTATTATGAGAATAGCAATGAATATGGCCAAGCAAATATCTCTATAGTAGGATATCTAGTCCTTTGGATATATGCCCAGGAGTGGTATAGCTGGTTTCTGTTAGATCTACTTTTAGCGTATTGAGAATTCTGCACACTGATTTTCATAGTGACTACATTAAAAAGAATTTACAGACCCATGTCTCTCTTGATGTGGTCATCCAAAACAAAATATTACTAATTAAATCCAACAATGTATAAGATCACAGCCAAGTACAATTTATTCTATAGATGTCAAAAGTGTTACCCAAAACATGCGAATCGAACTAGATAGGACAAAAACATACGAGAAAAGTCATATGACCATCGTGTGTGTGTGTGTGTGTAACATATATATTAAAGCATTTGACAAAATTCCAAACCATTTATAATAAAAATAATTAAGAAAAAAAATTCCTCTGATTATTCTGCAGTAAAAACCTAACGATGTTTTTAATTTTCTAGTGCTATGACTACTGTTAATGTTTTATCTATTGTAGAGTGTGCCATAGTTAATTCATTTCTCTGTTAATGTTCACCTAGCATTCCAGTTTCCTTTTCTTGTCTATAATGTTACAGTGAAGCATTTTGCTGTTCTAATCTCACATGCAAATGTTTCTCTCACAGATTTTAATGAAAATGTGAAATTGCTAGATCATAGTCTTTGGAAAAGCTATTTTGAATACTTCTATATTTTCCTATGTATCATAATTATTTAGCCCTGGATTTTGTTGTATATTGCTTCCTTTTTTGTATTTTACATAAGAAACTAAAATTAACCTGTTCTTTTCCAGTCTTTTAACACCTCTGATCATCTTTGTATACTCTGTATTACCTAATGGAACAATGTTTTGTTTTACAGGGACTTGCTGTTTACTGAATGAATGAAGGCTGTAGCTTTCCTTTCTCATTTATCTTGTCATCCCATTCTTCCTCTTTAACTTTCTCAGATATATTTTGTATTTACTTTTGAACTTCAGACTTAAATGTTCTCCTATACACTCCCAAGTTTTCTCTTCCCCTCTCTCGAGTTTCATCTTCTTTCTGAGGGTTTCTAGCTCCTATTCTACCAACCTGTATTTTATTTTTCTATCTAGTCATTCATTCCCCATTATTGGTAACAAAAATTACTATCTTTTGAATCCTTACCAGATGACAAGTACTGGTGATTGTTTTCATCAGATGTGTACTACCTAACTTATTTTGGGAGAGTGCTGTATCATTACAGTGTTCTTGGACATTCCGTCTCTGAGTTCTTTATTCATGTTCAAATGAAAGTACAATATACTTTTTTTACAAGAAAACAAGAACATAAGTATATGTTTACTAGTTAATATGTTGAGTTCGTGATGTTGAGTGGAATGTTTGTAAAAGAATTTTTAAACAATTATCAACAAATAATCTGCAATAAATTATGTATGAATTATATGCAGTTGTTACACTAATACGTTTCTGTATCTCAGAACATAAAATCTAGATCATGAGGCTGAAGAGATGGCTCAATGGTTAAGAATACTGGTTCTTGCAGAAGACCCAGGTTCAAATCCCAGCACCCACATGGCAGCTAACAACTGTCTGTAACTCTAGTTCCAGGGAATCCGATGGCCTCTTCTGTCCTCTGTGGGCATTACACAGCACGGGTGCACTTACCTACATGTAGGCAATACACTCATACACATAAAATAAAATAAATCTGGATCTTGACAGTGAGATAAATGTGTATTTAATGTTCATGCCTGTTTCTTGTGTCTTGTTCAATATATAGCTTATTAGGAGTGCTTCCTGACCACTTAAATGCAGAGATTGCTGGGGGTACAATAACATCTAAGCAAGATGCAATGGATTATATCACCTGGACTTACTTTTTCCGACGTCTTATCATGAATCCCAGGTAAGGACAGTACTCTAAGAAAGGGCAATTATATATCTTTCTATTGTGCATTGAAAATACAAATATTTAAAACAAATTGCAAATTTGTTTACATAGTCTGAAAGGGAGAGCTTCTAGAGATATGACTTTGCCAGAAAATCAGTTATCTCTAGTATGGCTGCACTATATTAGACAATGATTAATTAAATGCATCTGCTGTTACTTTTAATTACCTCAGAATCATTTTGCTGTGTAGTTGAGAGACTGAAAAAACTGAAATCATTGAGGAATTTGCTAAACTGAATGGTAGTGACTGATGTAGACACAGCTGGAGATAAGAGAAGACAGAAGGTGAAGCTGGAGGGGAACATGAGGTGTTTCTTAGGGTCAGTAAGAACCCTTCAAGGGAAAGTGAAATTGGGGTATGTCTGATCTTGTTTTACTCTTGACAATATGTTATATCTTCATTTAGCACTTACTCTTTGTGAGATACTGTCCTAGTCTGTTTCTTCATTGCTGTGACAAAATACTCTGACCACTACCAACTTGGGGAGGAAAGGGTTTATTTGTCTTACATCTCCCAGGTCGCAGTTCATCAGGGAGCCCAAGGTAGGAAGGAACTCAGAGCAGGAACCTGGAGGCAGGAGCTAGAGCACAGGCCTAGGAGGAACACTGCTTACTGGCTTGCTCCCTGGCCGCTGCTCAGCCTTTCTTATGCAACACAGGCCCACCTGCCCAGGGGTGGCACCACCCACAGTGGGCTGGGCCCTCCCACATCACTCATCAAGAAGATGCCCTTCAGACATGGCCACAGGCCAGTCCAATAGAGGCAATTTCCCGATTGAGGCTCCCTCAACCCAGGTGTGTCAAGTTGACACTAAAGCTATCCAGGCACAGATACTGTATCAAACCCTGAGATACAAAGATGAGTATATCATCCTGTGTTCAGTAAGTAATCTTTTCATGCACAAGTTGACACTAAAGCTATCCAGGCACAGATACTGTATCAAACCCTGAGATATAAAGATGAGTATATCATCCTGTCTTCAGTAACTAATCTTTTCATGCACAGAAGACATGTCTAAGTCATAAAGATGTGTATTTAAGCCTGTGAGAGCCATAGCTTCATACGAGCAGGCGGCACTTCATCCAGATCTGGAATAAAGAACAGGAAGAACAAAGGCCGAAAGCAGGCAGATAAACAGAAGCAAAAGGTCCTGAGGTTTTAGGAAAATTTTAGGGAATATGAAAGATTATTGTAGCCAAAGGGGAAACAGTATGGGAAGAAGATCGATTTCACCCAGGCCAAGCTTCAGAGGCAAAAAGACTGTGTCCTGTATGCCAAGCTTCTGATCCTGCTGGAAGCCTAAGAGAGGATATGTAGCTACATTAGGTTTTGCTTTGTTTGGATTTTTACAATATTTTGATAGGGCATCGGGGGGAATGAGAAATACTTACAGCAGAAAAACCAATTAGGAAGTTGTTTGATAATAGGGGAAAGATGATGAGAACCTTAACACAGAAGAAATGGAGCAAGGGTCAAATTTGAGACATTCCTGATGTAAACATTAAGCCACTGAGAGGTCTTTGACAGAGAAGTCACGGTAAAAATGTCATTAAAAATCTTACCTATTGATATCTTAGGAAGTGTCTTCTCAACCAGTGTTTCTCCTAACACTGACAGCAGTTTTAAAACTCTGTGATTTAGCTCAGAGTTCCTTAACTGTTAGGGTTTGGGGGAACATGGCAGTAAAGTTATCTAACACTACACACTTTCCGGAGGAAATAGGAGTAGAAGCAAGGAGTAGGCTTTCCATGTATCTTCATCCAGCCTTGCTTGATAGTGAAAAACTGGAAGCCAGATACTTCAAAGTAACTTCCCAGTATCCCTTAACTACTTTGTGATTTGAAGCCAGGGCTTGGGGGTGGTGGGGGGAGCCAGGGCTTTGGCTCAGAGCACTGTTTCTTTTTCAGCATTATCCTATATTAACTTTTTGATCATGAATTGCTTAATTTCTCTAAACTTCCCTTTCTTCATCTGCAAAGTAATAGGCTAGCTCTTTTACTTGGTCATCTTGAATCAAATAAGCTAAAGCCACCCTAGTTCTGTATTAATTGTAAAGAACATAATGAGTAGCAGTTAATGAGCTGTGATCTCATACTTCCTGTCAGTTGCTTTGCTGGTCTCTCCCATCCCACAGTCCATTTTAAGAACCTAATTATTTCAGTAAGCTTTTATTATTGGCACATAAATGAGTTCTTTAAAAAATTAAAGTTTCTTTTCATATTATGTCTGCAGAAGCATGGTCCTTTATGTGTGTTCTCTTTTTAAAAAATTATTTTTTAGCTTTTAGCTCTTCATTTGGAAAGAACTTAAGGAGAAAAATACTTCAGAAGTGCTAAATACACAAAAATGCTATTTACTCCTCTTCTTGCTAAAATTTTATACATCCATAGTACAAGTTCAAAGTCAGGAAATTGACATTGATACGTACTATTAACTACCACACGGTCTTGATTCACTTTCACCTCTTGACCTACTAATGTCCATTTCTATCCAGAATACAAGTTAATATCCTGCATTACACTTAGTTGCTGTTCTAGCTTGCTTTCGTATTGCTGTGATGAAAACACTGACCAAAGACAACTTGGAAGAAAAGGGTTTATTTGGCTTAAAAGCACAGTTTATCATCAAGGGAAGGCAGGGCAGGAACCTGGAGCTGAAGCATAGGCCACAGAGGAACACTGCTTATTGGCTTGCTCCTTGGCCCATGCTCAGCCTGCTTTCTTATACAACAAGGACCACCTGCCCAGGGGTGGCGCCCACCCACAGTAAGATGGACTCTCCCATGTCATTCAACAATGAAGAAAATGCCCTACAGACATGGCCACAGGCCAGTCCAGTGCTCGACCTAAGTATGTCAAGTTGACAACTAATGCTGTTCAGCAGAGTTGCCTTGTCTCTTTAGTTCTCACAGTGGTGTGACTTTTTTTTTATCCTTCTGTGCCTAACAGTCTTTTTGTTTGTATATTTTAATAGATACTTTGTTTTAAAGATACGGGCTTTTATTATATATATATCTTAGACTTTCATTGTTTTTTTGTTTGTTTCTTTTTGAGACAGGGTCTCCCTGTAGCCCCAGCTGTCCTGGAATTGGCTATGTAGACCAGGCTGGCCTCAAACTCACAGAGATCTGCCTGCCTCTGCCTCCCAAGTGCTGGGATTAAAGGCGTGCGCCACCACACCAGGCTATCAATGTATATTTTTATTGAATTTTTGTGTGTTTCATACACAGCATCTTAATCATCTTTATACCCTCTTCCCCACTGACAGTCTCCCATAACCCACCCACTGGATTTCAGGCATTCTGTCATTTATATTAGACCTGTCGAGTCAAGTTGGTGTCTCCTGATGCCCCTCCTTGCAAGTTCATCCACTGGGGTCTAAGCCGCTTATCTAGAGTCACTCCATTAAAGAAGGTCAGCTGCCCAGTAGGTCCTCAGCTAAGACTGGGGCCTGCTGCCCATTTCCACAGTTTTGTGCTGGGATTTTGTCTCCTTGAATTTGCATGAGTCTTATGCATGCAGATACCATTGCTCTTTTTCATATGAGTAAGGTCCCAGGAGCCTGTAAGACTTTCCATATGGTCTTGTACCTCCTCCTCAGGCTATCCAATCTTTCCACATCCTCTTCCACAGTGGTCCCTGAACCCTGCGTTCATCACCCTCATCAGCTCATTAGCCACTCGTCAGCTAAGGGACACTTAGGTTGCTTCAATTTCTTAGCTATTGTGAAAAGAGCAGTAACAAACAAGTATCTCTGTTCAAGTATCTCTGCCATTAGTATCTTTGTTTTTATGCCAAGGAGTGGTATAACCAGGTCATGTAGTAGGTTCCTTTTTAGTTTTTAGAATTCTCCATAATGCTTTCCATAGTGATTGCACAAATCTGTAACCCCACCAGCAGTGAATGAGAGTTCCCCTTTCCCCACATCCTCTCTAACATTTCATATCATTTGTTCTCTTGATCTTACCCAGTCTGACTGGGGTAAATGGAATCTTAAAGTGGTTTTAATTTGCATTTCTCTAATTACTAAAGATATTAAACACTTTTTGGGTGCTGCTTAGCCATCTTTTATTTCTTTTGAGAACTCCGTTCAGACCCATATCCCATCTTTTACTTGAGTCATTTGTTTTCTTGATTCTTTGTTTTTGTGTTCTTTGTATACTATAGACGTAAAACCTCTGTCAGATGTGTTGCTGGTGAAGATTTTCTCCCACTCTGTGAGATTTCTCTTCACTTTCCTTGGTTGTTTCTTTACATGTACAGAAGCTTTTGTTTAATGAGATCCAACTTGTTGATTGTTCACCTTAATTCCTGAGCATCTGATTTCTAATTTAGAAAGGCCTTTCTTGGAACTGGAGAGATGGCTTAGTGGTTAAGAACACTAGTTGCTCTTGCAGAGGACCTGGGTTCGTGACCCCAGCACACATATAGTGGCTAACAACTGTCCATAACGCCAGTTCCAAAGGAATCCTTCTGTCCTTTATGGACATTGCATGACATGGGTGCAGTTACACACATGCGGGCATTTCACTCATACACATAAAATAAAAATAATAAAATATTTTAAAATAAAGTTAAAATTAAGAAAGTCCTTTCTTGGACCTGGGTTCGTGACCCCAGCACACATATAGTGGCTAACAACTGTCCATAACGCCAGTTCCAAAGGAATCCTTCTGTCCTTTATGGACATTGCATGACATGGGTGCAGTTACACACATGCGGGCATTTCACTCATACACATAAAATAAAAATAATAAAATATTTTAAAATAAAGTTAAAATTAAGAAAGTCCTTTCTTTTTTATGCAGTGCCGTGGAGGTCAGTAGAGAGCTTCTGATTCCCCTGGAACTAGAGTTAAGGACAGTTCGTAGCCACTATGTGGGTGCTGGGAATTGAACCCAGGTCCTCTGCAAGAGCAGTCAGTGCCCTTAACCACTGAGCCATCTCTCCAGCTC